AGTTAGTACTTGGATAGTAGGTAGTTAGTAGTACGTTACATAGTTCGTAGGTAGATAGTTGGTAGTTAGTTACCAACTTAGTAGGCCAATGATAGGTAATTTTAGCTAGTTACTTAATTATAATGTTAGTTATTTAGTTATTTACTTAACAAGAACAAGACAACTGATGCTAGACATAATGGAAAATACATTAAAAATGTTATGTTAAAATGCACAGGTGCAGCAAACAAATTCAATCTGTATATTCTGTCCACTTCCAGACCAAAAGAAGAGTCAGGGGACTATTACAGGGATTATTTATGTAGACATACAGTATGTGTGTATACAGTATGTATGGATGTACATGGATGTTTTAATGTGTGTCTCTGTGTTATTGTGCTCACCATTCATGTCGTCACATTTGGAGTTTCCCACGTTGAAACAGGAAGTCTTCATGTTGGAAGGCAACACATTCCACCATTTATACTCGTAACCTAACACGGGCTCCGTACCTGCAGGGCACTCGGTGCACACTGGTATACACACACACACACACACACACACACAAACACACACACACATAGATACAAAGGCTCTGTTTAGATACAACAATTACATTTTCCAATCATTATGTTTGCACAAGAACCATCTTTTCTGGAGTGGATTATCCATCTGAATCATCTCTCCAAACTTCATTCAGAATGACGCTCAGGGCAGATCATTATGTGACCAGATGGAGTGTGTAACAGGAAGTCCCGACTTTGAATAGAGTATTTCATAAAATACTTCAGTATTGGACTACAACGTGTAACAACAAATTCAAAATATTTGTTCTGTAGCTTCTAAAATGTGAGGATTATTTTGTTATATATAACAGTTACCTGAATATGTCTGGGTTTTGGGCTGTCAGTGGAATAAAACAAGACATCTGAACACAACTCTCTATGCTGTAGACAGTTTATAGATCATTTTAATATTTGTGCATAGATACAGAATGTGTTTTACTTATGTGTGTATATACTCTTTATGCATGTGTGCACATATATATACTGAATATGTGTATACCCAAGTATGGAATTTAAATGTCTGTATTTGTTATTACATCAAATCAATTAGAAAATATGAATATAAAAGCATATTTTGACATTTGATTTGATGTCTTCTGCACACCCATTTGTGAACATGAAGCAATATAAAAAGAGCGAGATGTTGCCTTGGTAACATGTATGCCAGGTGTAGACAGGTCTGAGCAGGTTTACCGTTGGTGCCATCTGAGTGGGTTCCAGGTGGGCAGGGCAAACAGGTGGAGTCATTGCTGTTGTGGTAGCCGGGGTTGCAGGGAGGGCAGGGCTCTCTCTGCCCTGTTGCAGGCAGCTCCACGGCACCTGTGACGTTCTCCACGCAGATTTTTGGCTCCACCCAACGATACAATACCTGCGTCTGTAACAGCCAAAAACACAGAGGTTATGATCAGGGGTGGAAAGATTGCTGCAAGTATTTATGTTGCTGAAATAAAATTGAATGAGATACATAGAAATGGACAATAAAGTTAAAATATAAAAAAATAGAGGGGTGTGTTTCTTATCTGTTCTTCATCAGTCATCATTCTTACTCAGCGTTTTTTTAGAGATGTGAATCAAAACAGGTCAAGGTCATGGTTGAGTGCCAAGGAAGTTGATTTAGGATCAGATGACATGCAAAGCGCTCGCTAAGCTCTTCATCATTTCCTTTCTCATCGCATTGTGTGACCTCTCCAGTTTCTGATACAATGGCCCGAGACAGCTGACAGTACGTCTTCACTGTTCATAATTAATTTAAATGTAATGCAGTAAAACGCTGCAGACAAAGCAGGCAGCATTATAATCCTGTATGAATAAGCAGTGAGCTATTTATTATGTCCTTTTGTTAAAGTGTAAACATTGGACCAGATGAAAGCTAAACAGGATTTTTTATGCTGATTGTGTATTAAATATAAAACAAATCATGGGTGTTTGCGGTTGTCTCTTATGTTCGTATGTAGTCAAAAGTCTAGTTTTAATTGAATTATTATGTTTTATTTCGGTGTGTTAACCTAGAAATTCAAACTAAAAACAACGAAATTGCCAACTAATATTTGACAACTTTACAGCTTAGATCATGTGTTTGTAAGTCACTGTGTCCGTCCTTGTGTAGTGAAAAGGTGAGAGTGTGTGTGTGAAATGTAAAACGTGGATGCTGCTGACCTTCCCCTCGCTGTCGCAGGCCGTGTGGATCTGGAAGAAATCCTTCTCTGAGCACGGTGGCCTCACCTTACACTCTGCCCATCCCTCATCTGAGAGAGGAGTCGCAAACAGAAGGAGACGTGATGAAGCAGAGAAAAAACAACCAGAATGATATTTTGGTACATAACAAAAAACAAGTACTGCAGAAGTCAAGAATCGAGAATATAAATAGAAATGTTCTATAAAACAATGAAAAATACATTAACATTTACATTAGTTTTTAACTGGTTATCCAACAGTTTCATACTGATGCATCTATATGACCTGCATAAGCATTCAGTCGAAAACAAAGTGGTGGAAACAATACCACTTTTGTCCACAGGGGCCGCCAGAATCAACAAAAAATGAACTATCGTTGTTGCTGCTTTGAGATTTAATTTTCTAACAATAAATAACACACAACAAAGTCAACAGCAGAGTCAATAAACCAGCAACAGACCAATCAAAGTATCGCAGATATATTGGTATTATCCTGTATGTGTTGGCAGATAAGCAAAATTCTAACTGCAGAACATAAATGTTTTAGTCTACATCTTTTTATTCCGTTTTTACACGGTTAGTATTGCCCTATATGCCCTTTCTCACTGGATATAATTAAGCCAACAACAACAACAGCAGGGTGTTCTGCGTGAGTGTGAGTTGCACATGTGCACATACGTGAGTAGTAGTGCTCGGGGCAGGGTGTACAGGAGGACGCATCCTTTATGGAGAAGGTGTTGCTGGGACATGGCTGACAGGAGGAGGAGCCGGGGGCCGAGCTGAACCAGCCAGGCCGACACGGAAAACACTCGGATGTGTAGGCTACACCTGTGTTGACATAAAGTAGCACAACATGCACACAAAAAGTCATTTTTTACTGTTTGAACTTAAAGACGTCCTGGTCCAGAGAACAATTTGCATCTGAGAAGGAATTTTTGGACTTTACCTTCTATTTGGATGTTCTTGAGCAGCACGGGTTTGACCATCTTCCCTCCCACCAGGATGCCAGTGGTTCTCCAATACAGGATGTTCGTACCAGACTTCAGATTCACCTAAAAAGAAAAAAAAGATGTTCACACTGAAGCACACAAAATCAAAATACTGTCCCTAACAACACAAGCAGGACCAGATACTCACTGTGTGTGTGTCCCATTCTCCGTTGTTAGTGAGTTTAATCCACTTCTGGTCATCAGTTTGGGCCATTTCCTGACACTGCTCATTCTGGACCTGAACAAATGTTGACATGGAAGCTATTAGCCACAAAATATTGTTCAAAAGAACAGCTACACTAATTACTATTCCACTGTACTGTAAACCAGGGTATATGTGGATTTGTTGAAGGCAAGGAGTTTTGGACAAAAGCTGCAGATAGAGGATCTTTTGAGCTAATACGACAAGACTTTTTTATGCTTCAAACATGACTGAAGCATGAAAAGAGTTATATGAGAAGATCGATACCACTCTTATATTTTTCCGATTAACATTAAGATACAGCCAAAAGCCCTTTAGCTTAGCTTAGCACAAAGACTGGAAACAGGGGCAAACAGCTAGCCTCTTAGCCTGATGCCACTGTGATGTTACCAGACACAACTAGTGTGAATTAAACAAACAGGATATAAAGTAACGTACAAATTAGAGCGCTTTAGAGGTGCTAGTAGGCATCCTGTTACCTTTAGCTGGAGCCAGGCTAGTGTTTCTTTATCCTAAGCTAAGCTAACCAGCTGTAGTTTCATATTTACAGACATGTGGATTGGTATTCGAATATTTTCTAAAATGTCTAACTATTTCTTCAATTCATTCTTTATTGTAAGATGGAAAAGCTTCTGAAACAGCGTTTAGACAATCAACACAAGTCTTTAACAGACTGTTAAGAAGAAATTCATGATGTGGTTTCTGTGGCATAAAACATAAAAATAATAATAAAACCCTAATTTATGAACAAGGTGGAATGTCATAGGAAGCTAAATGTTATATCAGAATACATCACATTGTAGAAAGCCGTTGGAGTGCTTACATAGAACTCGAAGAAGATGTTGTTGTCGGGGTACTGGTAGGTGAAGGAGACGGAGCCTTGTTTCTCCAGATGGACGGCGTAAACCAAAGACACTGTACACTCGTCGCGGTTGGACTCCAGATAAACACCCTGTGGCATCCACGACGAGCTGCCGTACAGACACAGAGTCAGCAAAAAATGGCAACGGCTCTGCACTGTATTTTTGGTCGTATCCTCAGGTTAATACACCTGCACCTGCAACTCCATGTGTGTGGGAGTGTCTGTTTCACCTGTTACAGGCCTGAATGTCTTCTCCATTTGGCCCGGGGTCCAGGAAGCTAGCCAGGCTGGTGAAGCCTGCAGGGATGGCGTCCCATTGGTCGAAACGAAGGCCGCTGCCCAGCGAATAGGAGCCGGTAGCACAAGGCGTGCACTGCTGCGTGGTCATGTCTAAAAACTCCCCGGCTGGACAGGAGAAAGCTGAGACGCAGTGAGGAGAAGAGGGTCATATTGACATGTGAATACACACATAAATATGAACGCGCACACACACACACACACACACACACACACACACAGGCAATACGTACAGCAGTCTCTTCCGCTGATTGGAGGTGGAAGGTCCGAGCAGGAGCCTGGATTGAGAGGGATGGCGACCCTCCATCGTGACCCTGTGCTGTCACACTCTGTGTACTGGTAGTAGTAGTCGGTCTGCAGAATACACACATACAGATACATTCAAATCATTACATCCATCCAATTTGTGTGTCTTTATTGATGGCAAAAAAATCAGTTGACCACTTTGGCCTGCAGAGTGAAACATCACAGCGACTATTTGATGGATTAGGATTACATTTTGTGCAAACATTCATGGTCCCCTGAGGGTAAAATCTACTGATTTTGGTGGTCTGCTTTCTGCTTGCACCACTATGAGGCTCACATTTGTGTTTTTGAGTGAATTATCTCTTGTAATTGTCCAATACTTTATGGTTTATGACCAAAACTAATGCCATTCTCATCAGCCACTGGTTCCAGTTAACAAATGTTAGCATACAAGAACATGGTAAACGCTGTACCTGCTGAACATCAGCGTGTTAGCATTGATGACTGTCGATGTTAAGATTTAACTCAAAGCATCCCCGTGCCTAAGTATAGCCTGCTAGCACCGCAGACACAACAAAACCCTTATAGTGAGTGCACAACTACACGACTGGGTGTGAGCATTTAGCTGATTTCATACAAAAAAAACAAAAGCTGGTCATACAAAAGGGAACATTGGAGGGTTGGGAGGGTGGCTGACCCCGATCACCACGGCAACCAACCGCTGGACCAGTAATGGACCATTAAGAGCATGACAGGAGGTCATCTGTAAAGTGGCTTCTTTCCAAGGACTGCTGGTTGTGACATTATGTTGATAATTTGAACTGATTGAACTCATTTAGGAGAACATTATAATTTAGAGTGCTTTTAAAGCTCCACAGGAAAAAAACATTCATATGTCATCATCCAGAACATGTTTACTTGGTTTATTTCTGTTTTTCTATTATATTCTATATAAAATCTTAGTTTTTAAAAGGCACAACAACATTTTGATTTAGACCAAAACATTGTATTAAATAATTACCACATAAACCAGGAGTGAACAAGAACGTATGCAGGAGTTTTGCAGCCCTCTGATGCACCTGTCACACATGAAGCATTAAGAAAAATGCTCTCTAAAAACACTAGTATTTAAAAGAAGAAACATTCGACAGTTTGCTTTCTTTCTGAGAGTCAGATGAGAAGATTGATATTTGTACACCACTCTAATATCTGTGCAGTAAATGTGAAGCTACCGCCAGAAACTGGGTACCTTAGCACAAAGACTGGAAACAGGGGGGAAACACCTGCTCATGTCCAAAATGATTATTGCTATGTATTATAATATTTTGATCCATATTGTCATTGAAATTTAATATTAATCTTCAATGTTTAGCACTTTTCTTTCTTTCTCGTTTTACCTTTAAATATTTTTATTGTACCGTTCTTTATTCGAGTCAACTGAGAACAAATTCTAATTTACAATGATGACCCGGTCAAGAGTCAAAGATTGTAAATCAGTTTTCTAAGCAGGGCTCGCTTTGTACTTTTAATACGACTTCCTTTGAGTCCAAATGCCTCGCTCTGGCAGATCTCCATCTCCTCCCCCGAACCTGCTGTTCAACTGAGCAGACAAAGCAGCAGAGCGCGCAGGCAGCTGGCTGCGGCCGAGCAGTGACATCTAAGGAGCAGCTAATTAAACTGGAACAATCACAGAATTGACCTGCGATGTGGGTACGGGGGGGAATTAATCAGAGACAGAGAGAGAGATGGTTTACAGATACAGGATGGGTGTGTATGTGTGTATGTGTGTGTGTGTGTGCAGTACAGATAAGCTTGAGGTCTTTTAAACCTCTCTGAAACAACAAAAAAATGGACATCCATGCTGCACACACCTTCCCCCAACACACAAACATAATATACAAACTGTGGATTGTCATGTGAGAGGCCTCATTAACATGTAACATGGCAACCTGTGCTGAGATTCACCCGACGTCTCTGTCTGTGCAAATGGGCAAACAAGAGAGGGCCGGTGCTAATGTGTTGACAGTTGAGGGGGGGGGGGGGGGGGGGGGGGGGGGAAAAAAA